CCTATAAGTGCAAGTACATGTCAGACAAAACTTAGTTAAGAAACAAGAAACGGCCAATTCTGGCCAATAAGACAGCGATCTATCAACTTGTGACCGTTATGCGATATCTTGAAAATTATCTGTTGCAAGTAAGCAATGACTTAAAGTAGACACCACAGCAGTGAATTATACAGCAAAATCTTTGCAAATTGAAACTGTCAACCATAGTAATTGAAATTAAAACATTTTAAGACATATAGGTATTCAAATATAGAACGATAGTGTGGACTGCATTAAAAGTGGGTGCAGATCATATGGAAGAAAGTATTCCTGCCAAGAAAATAAACCTACCATTAGCAATTGGCAACCAAAACATAATATAAAATTAAGACTAACAGCTACTTGGGCTTAATTTGATTTCATTGTGTCATCGTCAGCACGAGATATCAAGTTAACGGAGTATGTATATAAACACCCTCATGCAACTATATATAAGTCGGGTAAGAAAGAAAAACTACAAATAAAACTCAGGTAATATGAAAGAAAAACAACAAACAATAAAGAGAAATCTCAGAGTTAAGCAGCAAAACAAATGTAAGTTTTGTTAGGAACCAATAAGCAGTATTTGTTCTGATCACTGAAAGACCAAATAGAACTCACTTACAAGCTACAAGTACACATAAGGAGCACAAAATTATTTGTTATTGCAATTCAAATTCATGCATGTACAAGACTATACCCAATCATCAGACCTTATAAGATTCATCATTGCCATGTCTTCGTCATCAACTTGCGCCCTATGATCACTACAACAGATACAAAAAGATCCACCCTTACAATTAGACAATTAAAAAAGCAACTCTTCATGTACATGTGTATTGCTATGCGCCTGTAACAATACATAGAGATCTTGTCATGTGAAATTTTCACTACACTTTGTCATGTAAATTTTTTATTCTTGTATCTCTTTGGACAAAATTCACAAATTTCAATAGAATCTCACTCGTTTAATGTCTATGAAAAGATAGTCGCCAAATTTTCATATAACAAGATCATGTGAAATTTAAACATGACAAAATCCTTTATGTGACATAAATGCATGGGCAGCTCTACAATGGGAATTAAATGAAAGGTTCAAACGCATGAAAAATAAAACCCCGATGCAAATTTGAAAATCATACTCCCTAGAGTTTAATGGACATACATTTACGGTTAACCAACGAGAAACCACCATTTTTTCAACGTCAAATATTCTTACAAAAGTTGGGTAATGTGGCCAATAATTGATTTTTGGATGACAAACTCAGCAAAATGAAGCAAGTAAAACAAAAGTGAGAGAGTGAATTCACCGTGCATTTCTGGGATTTGGCCGAATTTGAACATCCTCAACACTGCAATAATATTTTATCTTTTCGACATACTCGTCGACCATGAGTTGCAATCCTTGTGATCGTTTTCTTCCCACGGATAATATCCGTATAGGAAGCGCTCTCTGCAAAAACCCAAACTATTGGTACTACTTTTTATATAAAAAATAAAAATAAAAATAAAACGGCAAAACCCCACAATTAACGGTGTTAAATTCTTTTGAGGGAGAATTTTCCAGCCCATTATGGTCCTCCTCCATCCTCACCTCGAGAGATTAGTCTATGTGAGATTAGTCTCTACAGTATCGTGAAGAGGATACCTGATTTCTACCGAAAAAATTAGAATAATATGACTCTTATTTGGTCTGTGAACCATAGTAATATAATAAATAATCTCTAAACTATTTGTAATCTAATAACTATCAAATTAGTCCCTCGCATAAACCCTAATCACTAAGCATTTTTTGATAGAACATAAGTGTTTTGTAATTGATAGTGAAAACTTGCATTGAAAATTATATTGTAATTGATAGTGTAAATTTGGTGATGAGTGAGAGAAAAATTGCAGTGTTACTTACCACTGATTGACCGGCGAACTTGCAATTGGTAGTAGAAGTAGCTGAAAATATGGGAGACAAGGGGATGGTTGAAATGAAGGAGTTTGGAAAATGTGATGTAGAAATGAAACAGAGTTTTGAAGTTGAAACAAACCTTGAGCGTGAAGATGATTGGAAGCGTTGAAATTGAAGCCGACGCAAAGCTGGAATACGGTGCCCATTTGGAAGAGAAACGCGATGGATAAAGCTGCTTCCAACTTCTGAATTAACGACGAATGTTTTTTATTTAATGATATTGCTTAGTTCTTCATTTCCGGGAATGTGAAAGTGAAACGAAAATGTTTTTTTTTTTTTCAAATTCTTAAAAATTATTTTCAAATTTTTTTATTTTCGGATATATTAGCATGATTTTTTGGATTTAACTTTTTTTATGAAAATAAAGTTAACTAATGATAATTTTTCAATTGTACTCACATTTTTTTTTATATTTTCATATTTTTTAAACAAATAAAATTTATGAATAATATTAAAAATATATAATTTTTAGCCAAACACATATATAGGAATATTAGAAATAATAGTTTTGGAAATATAACCCTAAAGAATGTTATTTTATAACTCCAAAGAATACATTGTCTTTAAATTGTTTTTTTTAATATTTAATAGGATTTTGTGGAGTGGTGTAAAATTTTGTTACATTGTTACCATTTGTTTTGTCTAGAGAAATTTTCTGAACATAATAGCTATAAAAGACAATCGGTTTCGAAGAGATCTAATTCATCATGGATCATTGCAATGTGTTAGAGTGTGTATAAATAAAGAGTTAGTATCTCATTTATTTTTTGAGTGTCTAGTATTTACATCGGTTTAGTATGTTGTTTGTAAGTGGTTAAATGTATCTTTTACTCACAAGTATTGTCTCGTGTAGCTAGAACAATTTGTACGATAAATTGGCGAAAGTAAGATTATCTCAAAAAAAGGTTTAAGTGATTTGGTTCACATGTGAGTGGTGTATTTGGAAAACAAGGAATATAAAATTATTAAAAAAATAAAGATATTAATGTTGAAAAATTGGTACTGGATGTGAAAAATATATGTGTGGAACTTGCTAAAAATCAAATAAAAAAGTATGGAGTACAACCTAACCCTTTGGTGCTTGAATATAAGGGTTTGCCTTGGTGTCATAGAGAGATCTAATCTCTGATCCTGTATTTTTTAATTGTTATTGTGTGTGTTTTGCATAAGCATTTTGGGTATTCACTCATGAAGGCAATTTTAAAAATTAAGCAAGTAATGATATCTAACTTGTGTCATATTAACTTAACGTTGTTGTTAATGGTCGAGTTGTGGTTGTTGCAACCTAAAATTTATTCAACGGTTTTTCGACTTTGACTGGCTTTTGCTTCGTTTTTCATCTGCATATCATTTAGGTCGCATTTTGTCCGTGTTATCGGTCGAATTGAATTTATCAGGATTTTAGCCGTTTTGTTCGCGTTTCAGGCGATTCAAAATAATTCAAACGAGAAGTTCAATGTTGAAATCGAGCGAAAGTCGCTCTCCTCTTGATAATTCAATCCATGTCGGTAATATCGGCGCATTGCTGGCAGTCGTATATCTAAGATTGAGAATCTAAATGACGAAATGAATGTTGAGTTTGAGATGACTAATTAGGAAGGTCTCGTAGTTTTTGGCATAAAATTTGGCATAAAATTTGTAAAATTCAAGACGTGGCAATGCATCAACTGAAGTATGTGAAGGAGTTATTGGACAAATATGACATGACTAATTGCAACACAGTCACAAATCCACCTTAAAAAAGGCAAAATTTGATGAATATAGTGAACTAAATGCAACTCAGTCACAAACTTGATATATGTTTTGTAGTAAGCATCATCAACAGGTTTTGAATGAATCTAGAAAATCCCATCTATTGTCTGCAAAAAAGAATAATCAGGTACATAAAGAGAACAATGAAGCTTGGTCTTCTATTTCCAGTTGTGTTGAACGAAACGAGAGCATGACTAATTAGCTATTCTAATTGTATGATGACAAAAGTGGTAGAAGAAGTACATCAACTTATGTTTTTAGATATAATTATGTAGCTGTTTTAGAATGTATTAAGAGCCATAACATTGTCATCATGTGAGGCAGTGTATAGTATATTGATGGCATATTTGCTTCATGTCAAACCATTTGGTTAGATTCTTTGATTAATGAGCTATAATGTAAAGTGCAGAAGCCATTGAAGTTCATGATTGACAATAAATTAGCCAGGAAGGAACAAACATCCAGAGACTATATTTCATTTCATACGGGAGCAAGTCATAAAAAAAAGGCTTGAAATCTCTTATTGTCCAAGACAATTTCAACTAGCTAATAGATTCACAAAGACTACTAAAATTGATAGATTTGTGTTTTAGAGAAAACAACTAGAATTGATTTATGTTAAGTTTATGGGAGAATGTTAGTTGATAAACCCTTAATCATAATAATCCTTGGTTGTTAGGGATTTGTCAGTGACTTAAACTAACTAACAGTTGATAAGTTATTATAGCACTTGAATTGTGTTCATTTTCCACAATTGTTAACATTCATTTGCATAACTTGCTGAGCAAGATAACCTTAGCAGGGCTAACAGTCTTATCAAAATTAAATATTAGCAATCTTAATTACAGATACAAATTTTCTTAATATTGCACAAAAGACCAAGACTGCGATCCTAATTCAACCTTTCCTTTTCTACTAGTTAAATCCATGTCAGTCTAATTAAAAATTGGATATTCTGAATACTTGAACCGTAAGAAAAAGCATAACCCCAAAAAAAATCATACCTCACATTCCCTCCGGTAAATATTATTTTCGGCAAAAATATGAATAAATTCAAAGATTGTCTCAATGGAAATCTGATTTCACTACAGTGTTACTTTAATGTAACACCTTAGTGATTTTGAGACAAACTCTGCAGCCAAGAAGAGGTAATACTGTCTTGGAGTATAACAAATATACACTCAATCATATTATACATGAACTTGTGCAAAGTGCCAAGGTACAAACTTGCCAGAATTTTCTTGAAGGTAATTTTGATTTCAATTCAACTTCATATTCTTTTAAAAACAAACAGGGAACCTCTTGATCCCAATCCTAACCTGATTTTTTCATCTACATAAGTAATTCGGAGTTTAACTTCACTCTGACCTCCATATTGTGCTTTCCATGATCCTAACTTCAATTCAGGTGCTTCAAATATAACTTGAATCCATTCACTATCCAAAGCCTTGAGTTTTCCTGTTTCACATTTGCACAATACTTCAAATAAGCACAGAAATTTGACAGTGATTATTAAAAAATATAGAATTAGAAACAAGATACCAAGCAAACAGATACCAACAAGTTAATCTCTAAAATAAACACATACCTTTTAGAGAAACTTCTCCATCTAAAAATCCTAGAGCAGTAAATGAGATCTTGTTTCTCACAATATCAGGAGCTTCAACAGCCTGAATCATTTCCTTTGTTTTGAAGAAAACTCTACCTATTGCACTCCTATACCCACCTCCAGGCGATGTTGGCTGCGAACAGTACACCACATCCCAATCTGTAAACCATTTTTGTCAGTAATGAATAAAACAGAAGTAAAAGCAAGAACTGGATTGTTCTCACATCAATTTTGATAATGTGAAAAAATGTATATAAAAAATGCCGTAAGTTGAAAGTGGATTTTCAGAAAAGATGAAAATAGTTCATGATATGTTATTTTTACCTTAGTTTTGCAAGCTCCCCAAAATAATTTATAAAACTGTATTGCTATTTCTCACGAAATTATCACCCGCAGACATCACAAAGCCAAAAAAAAAAATCAATTACTAAGCCGTATAACTATACAAATGATTTGTTTGTGAGTTGAAGATTCAAACCAATTACATTAAAACATGTAGCATTCATGAGTTACGAGATAACAATGCTTTGGTGACGTTTAGCAATTTTATTTATAAAAACAGTTGATACAGGGCAAGTGTGGAGTTTCCCTGACTTCAATTTTAATTGTAAGGAATGTATAAATGCTTTGAATAAGCGCTTCTTAAGCTGTTTAGAAGATTCAGCAAATCAATCGGTATGATTTAATTGCAAATGTGTATTCACCTCCAAATATTAAAGGACATTTCACTGGCTCTTTCACACAATACTTCTGCAATTCTTGAACAACTTCATCCACCTCTTTATGTTCTTCCTTTTGCAGTAAAACCCCTCCATCTGTTTGCACCACCTGGTTAAAAGTTAAATTTCAATTCTCATTATGGAAGTAAAGATTATAAAGTAAAGTAAAATGTAATGAAATAGAAGAAATTAAGAAGTATTTTAATTCATAACTATCTCAGAGTTTTAGAGCTGAAAAATGAGAACAATCATGATTCAAAAGCCTTATATAAAATCTATTATATTAAACATAAAAGCTCATTTGTAGACATTAGAATTTGTAACTAGTGCACCAATGTTTAGTTGCAAAGAAAACTTTGTCTCATCTTTATGATTTTCCCATCTTTATATGGAAACTCATAACTCTATTTACAGCCCATTCTTCTGCTCTGATTCAAAAAAATTGTCAGCATCGATTTTAGGAGATACATTATAATAATTTAAAATAATTGGTTAATAGTTATTTTGTCCCCGGCCATATAGGCGAGTTTTGAAAAACCTCCATGTAAAAAAAAGTTTGAATTCCGCTCTTGTGATATGAAGATTCCATGTAGGGTGCAAAAACTATTAAGACATATAAGGCTTATGAATTATAATTGCTATTCTCATTTTTTAGCACTAAAACTCTAAGATAGTTATGGATGACAGAAAATCGAGATATCCCATTTTTATGCTCTGGTTCAATTTTTTTTAGCAGCAATCATTGCTGAGTACTATACAAGGAGATACTTTTTGAAATTTCCAAATAATCTACTATTGCATCTTAGAAATTCCAATTTTTTTCATAGTCCCCATTTTCTTTTCTCAAAACTCAAGTATCCAAACAAGGCCTAAGTAGTAAAAAAAATAATTAACTCAGTTTATATTCTGTCATATTAGTCCTCAATCATGTTTTCTATTTTGTAAAAAAAAATCAATTAAATTAGTTCAGATGTCCCTATTTTAACAACTAATTTTATTTATGAAAGCGTCATTATCAGGCAGACAGCACATATCATCAAAGACTTTTAGCGTAATTTTCTTAATCATGTGTTCAGTTTCTATCATGGCGTTGAACTTTTATTAATTACAACTCAAACCATAAATTACTGTATGAACATTCAATAAGACACGAATTTGAACCAGTAATTTTCAACTTTTGAGTGTGTGAGTTTTGCAGCTAGACTCTATAGAAATAGAAACCAATACATCTCAACCATTTATATTTTGTGGAAGAAAAAAAAAAGACATTAATTATTAATTAAATAAAATAATTGTCATATATATATATATATATATATATATATATATATATATATATATATATATATATATATATATATATATATATATATATATATATATATATATATATATATATATATATATATATATATATATATATATATATATATATATATCCATGCAACTTGATCATCAAGTTAAATTCATGCAGAACCGAATCAACATTTTCTTCAATATTTACTGAAATAAAGAGATTAATAAATAAGATAAGAATATACCTTTGAAAGAAGGGAAGCTACGAGATCGTTAGGGTTTGTTCGGACATTGGGGTTAGAGATGGAAACGCATAGGGTTTTGTGAGGGCGAGGGGAACGGAGGTTGAATGATTTGGGGGCTGGATGGTGGTTTTTATGGCTTCTGAGTTGAAACGAAGAAGGTGGTAAGCGAAACGCGGAAGCGGAAGCTGTAGCCATGGCGGTGTGCTGAGCCGCGTAAAACCCCAAATTATGAATAAGCTCTTTCTATATCGGAGTGATTGTCTATTGGTTGCATGATGCTGCGTCGGATGAGAATTGTGTTATTGGGATTTTGTGATGCCACGTACATAGAAACACTTTGCCTTATCTTTTCCCGTTTTAATTTAAGCTTTTTGTTAGGTTAGTGTTGATTTTAATTTCGACTTAGAAGGGGTCTCGGTATTTCTAATAGAAATTAAAGGTTCTGCATAATTTGATGTAAAACATCATTCATTCAATCATGTTATGTCAAAATATTAAAAACTAAAGAATAATTTTAATAAAACATATGTCATTATAATAATTATTCTTTTAAAATTATGAAAATGTGTATTTCAATAAAATATTTGTGTTGGAACCTAATATTATAACAATAACTGTCTTTACAATAAAAAGATCACTATTTTCTTTGATGTGTGTTACATTATGGAAGCAGAATTAGGTGTATTTTAATGGTGCGGAATTCTAAATCGGTAATGTTGATCTCTAGTACGATTACTTGTGATGGGTCTTGTAAGGTTAGTAGTCCAACGTCTAAGTCAATTCATAATTCATAATGAGTGTAGTAAAAAGTGGAGATCAAAAAAGTGTATTTTGAGTATATGTTGGGTCATTTGGAGTGGATTGGGCATTGACCTTTTTAGGCCTTTGGCCATCCTATAACAATTGTCCCTGAGACTTACCAAACAGTACTTTCTATAAAAGTCTTAGAAGTCGTGGTCGGCCTCCAAGAATTATGTTCTCTCTTGGGTGAAAGTGGAACGTCTCGGAACAATTATAAAAACAATGGAATACAAACACATTAAATGTTTTCCCATCATGGAAATGTTTTGTCATCCCTTATGAATCTGAGGCTATAGGGGCATAAGCTAGGGCTCGATTCCCTTGCTTATGGTGCTCGAGTTTTTTTTCTTACTGCCCCTGATGGGATGGTTGTTTTACTGCTTTTAGATCTTCTTTAGCTTTTAATATGAGTCATTGGTTCATGATCGACTTTCTTATAAAAGGCATATTTTTGCTCCAAGCGTCCTTTTTGCTTTACATGTTATTCGATGTTAAATCCTTCTTCATGTCCATGTTCTTTAGTTTTCTTGTTTCAATGTTTTGAACTTCCTTTATTACTTCTTATGTTGGTTGGTTGGATGCCCCAGACCGTGACATAGATAAAAAACTTTGTATCTACCGAAGATTATGCCCATGTGTTTAAACTTTTCAAGATAGGTAAATCAGGATTGTTGGTGGAGTCGGCTTTTTGACTGCGGCGAACGAATTCCCTCATGACTGTGTTCACGGTTGATCACGAAGAGCTATTGGTATGTGGTGCTCCTTTTTAATATGTTGAATCTTTGAAGGATCGTTATGGACTTGTTGAGTAACAAATTATTGGCTTCGAAAAGGAGCCCCATAGGTTGCGCCGCCGTCTGGACCATATGTCTCCTTTTTTGGAAAAGATAGACTTGCACGCGTCTCTTACGACCTTGAACAACCGGGTGGATGAACTCGAATGATTGCTTCAAGACGAGAAGAAAAGTTTATGTGAAGTGGAATTTGTGCTAGAGGTCTCGTATTCAAGTTCCCTAGTAGTTAAGACAGAGCTTGAGAAAGAGAATACCACTCTTTCGTAAGATTTGAAGGTCTTCCAGGAGGAGCAAGTCGGTTTAGACAAACAAGTGATGCATCTTTCTATCGATAGTTTGAAGGATACTGATAGCAGGCCCATTAGAAAGAGGAACCAGCCCAAGTGGATGAAAGATTTTTATAATTAATTATGTTAGTTATATGTTTAATTTAAATATGGTTTCTATTCATGGGCTAGGCCCATTGGATTCACTAGAACATCCAGTCTCTTATTTTGTATTTAAAAGACCACTTTGGCTACAACAAGGGATATGAAATGAGAAAAGTGTTATTTTTCTTTTATCTTCTTCAATTACTCTCAATTTAGTAACCCTAGATCTTAGAAATATATATTGTTAGAACCTTCTTATCAAATTGGTGCTTTCATCCCTTGGATTCATGGCCCCCCAACCCAAACCACCCAACCCTAAAGACATTATTGATGAAGCTGTCCAAACAGCTCATACTCACCTTGATCTGGCGTTAAATCGAACCCAGCAGTAAATCGATGAAAGGTTCGACAAAAGTTCTGCAGATCTGGAGCTGCTTCACACGCGAATGGACAATGAAAAGCAAATCTCTGATTCACGTTATGACAACATGATGGCTCTGCTGCAAAAACTGATTACTCAAAAGGAGCAACAGCAGCGGAACCCTCTTTCCATTTCAACGCCTTCCTTTTCAGGTATCACACACATTCCTCCTAATTTTTCCCAAACTACCACGCCTCTCCCCTCCCCTCACGCACCACCAATCTCATCCCCCCTACACTCAGTCTCCATCCAACAACCCTCTCTGTCCAGCAACATTTTTCGACCCACACCACTTCCCCCACCTAGACTTTTTGCCTCTTCCCCACCCCTCCACAATTCCACTACTACGTTACCTTTCCAACCGACCTATACAGCTCCTGTATTTCATACTCCGAACTATTATCCGCTCCACTCAACCACACCACTGCCCCCGTTCCGAACCCCAAAACTAGAATTATCCATGTTTGACAACTCTAACCCTTTGGAATGGTTATTCCAAGCCGACCAATTTTTTTATTTTTATCAACTCCCACCTGAACATAGACTTGCTATGATATCTTTTTATATGAAAGGTGAAGCCTTATGTTGGTTCAAGTGGATGTACCAAAGTCATCTTTTAACTGATTGGACTGCATTTACCAGAGCTTTGGAATTGCGTTTTGGGCCATCCACATATATTAATCATCAAGCAGAACTATTTAAGTTAACACAGACTGGGACAGTTGTGGAATATCAAGCTGCGTTTGAAAAATTAGGTACGCAGGTGATTGGCTTACCTCAGGATGCTATCCTGAATTGTTTCATTTCAGGTTTAAGGTCGGAAATTCAGAATGAGATTGTTATCCTCAAACCGGTTTCTATTTCCCAGGCGATTGGCCTCGCGAAGTTAATTGAATCAAAAATCAAAGACTCCAAACCTAAATACCACTGACCTTTTCCACCTCCATTACCAAAACCTACTCCTGCCCCAGCAAGTCAAATCCGCAATACACCTCCACTTAAATCCCCAACCATACCCCAACCAACCAAACTATCTATTAGACGATTGTCCAACGCTCAACTTCAAGAGCGCAGGGCATAAGGCTTATGTTTTAATTGCGATGAAAAATTCATTCCAGGCCATAAATGCTCCACTGGAAAATTCTTGCTCCTAATGGTAGACGACGATGTTGTCTCGGAAGAGGAGTCCAACACAATTCCTGAGCCCATTTCACCTACCCCAGACATTGACGACACATATTTTCAACTATCCCCGCAAGCAGCAAATGGCCAGTTTTCACCAAAGACTCTGAAATTTAAAGGACAAATTCATGGCCTTCCGGTGTCAGTTTTAATTGACACAGGCAGCACCCACAACATTCTCCAGCCGCTTATTGCCCACCATCTACGCTTAACCATCAACCCCATCCCTAACTTCTCTGTCATGGTTGGAAATGGCTCTAAACTATCATGCTCGGGACTATGCCCACACGTCCATATCACCCTACAAAACCACCTTTTCACTATTCCCTTCCATTTAATACCCATTGAAGGCGCAGACGTCGTTTTGGGCATGGAATGGTTGCGCACCCTTGGGCCACTCATCGCAGATTTTTCTATCCCAAAAATCTCTTTTACACACCAGACAACTGAAATCACCATCACAGGGGACCCTAAATCCCCTCCCTTACACTCTTCTTACAACCATATATGTCATCTTCTCCAGACAGACTTTGCTGCCTCTATCCACCTACTTCTTTATCAACCACCACCAGAGTCCAACTCCCTCAAACCTGCCAATCCGCTCAATTCATTACCTACATCGCTTTCCCAACAAATCACCACTATACTTCACTCATTTGCAGCAATTTTCGACCAGCCGCACGACCTACCTCCCCTAAGGCCTCATGACCACCACATCCCAATTCTCCCCAACAAACCCCCTGTCAATGTGAAACCGTACCGATATCCTCATTCTCAAAAAGATATCATAACTTTAATCATAAAAGATATGCTACACGAAGGAATCATTAAACCTAGCAACAACCCTTACTCCTCACCCGTTCTCCTAGTTCGCAAGAAAGACGGCTCATGGCGCTTCTGCGTCGACTATCGTGCTTTGAATGCAGTAACTATTAAAGACCGGTTTCCAATACCCACAATTGATGAACTCTTTGATGAGTTGGGTTCTGTCACTATATTTTCTAAGATCGATTTACGCTCGGGTTACCACCAGATTCGGGTTAACCCGAATGACACTCACAAAACTGCTTTCAGAACGTTTGATGGTCACTATGAGTTTCTAGTCATGCCTTTTGGCTTGACAAACGCACCAAGTTCCTTTCAGTCGGCTATGAATGATTTGCTTCGCCCATATTTACGCCGGTTTGTTTTAGTGTTCTTTGATGATATTTTAATTTATAGTTCCAATGTTTCTGATCATGCTATTCATTTAAAACTCATCCTAGAATTATTGTTGGCTAACCAATTTTATGCGAAGTTCTCCAAGTGCATTTTTTCTGTTCCTAGTGTTGATTATTTAGGACATATTATCTCACGGGATGGTGTCACCTCTGATCCAACTAAAATCCAAGCTATTCTTGATTGGCCAACGCCACGTTCACTCACGGCTCTCAGAGGATTCCTGGGCCTCACCGGTTTTTATCGACGATTTGTTCGTCATTACGCCACTCTCGCCACTCCGCTCACCGATTTGCTACGTTCCACTAAGTTACATTGGAGTACAGCCGCGGAGTCCACGTTTACAAAATTGAAACAACACTTGACTACAACTCTTATCCTAAGTCTTCCAAATTTCTCTCAACTCTT